CGCGGAACACTAATTGACGGACACTTCTCCATTCCCTTCAGCCAGTTGTTCCAAGATCTTTGTATCTCGTCTGGTACCACTTGGTCTCACCTCAGCTTCCTTAAGCAAACCTCACTGTACAGGATCTTTCCCGTAATGGTCACTGGTGCTGCAAGTCCCAACAAGTCATAAACACCATTAATGGCTGATAACATCTTTCTCTTGGTAAGGAGACCGTCACTCATTGTTCCCAATGGCTTTATGAAACCAACTGAAATTGTGTCTTCTGCCTTGTTCCAAGGTACTCCAAGTATCTTTGTTTCTTGGGAATGGGTTCCAACCACTAACTTTGCATAAGTCGAGCTTGCTTGTGATAGTAGGGTTTCATCATCAATCAATCATCACGACACTGGCCAGAATGGTGTACTCGGGATCTGGTGACTAATTGGAGTGACTTATGTACTGGTTTAAATGGTGTAACTTATTAAAATTAACAAACCCATTTAAATGACCCAATCAGTGTTGACACTCCAACTGGTTAGAATGATCTCACTAGTTAGGATGGTGCAACCAGTGCAAATGATTCAAATAGTAAAAATTATTCCTCGAGTATGAAAGATCCAACTGTTTAATAAGGTCCAAACAATTAAAATTATCAAGCTGGTTAAAAGGGTCCAAAGAGTTAAAAGGACGCAAATGGTTACCATTATTCCAACATTGAAAATGATACCTTCAGTCTAAATGACGTCGACTCGACTGATTAAAATGGTCCAAGTGGTTAAAATAGTCTACCTTAATTAAATGGTCCAGCCGCCTAATTGGGTCCCACTACTTTAGACGGTCCAAACAGTGAAAATGACTCGATCAAGAAAAATGATTCAATGAAAATTATCACTCTAGTCAAAATGATGCCACTAGTTAAAATGGTCCAACCAGTTAAAACTAGATAAAATGGTTTAAATGGTGAATATATTTTAATTACATAAAATGGTCAAACTGGAAGAAACTATCTTTACTCGGTAAAATTGTGCAACGGGTTAACATGATCCATCTTGTTAAAATGATCCCACTATCTTAAATGGACAAACTGGTTTAAATTGTCAAAGTAGTTGAAATGGTCTAACTAGATAAAACAGGTTCAACCAGTGAAAATAGTCTAACTACATAAAAGGGTCAAACTGATAGAAATGGTCTTACTAAATGAAATGGTCCAACCACTGGTCCAACCATCTAAACTAGCTAGTGGGACTACTGAAAATAATTCAACTTGAAAAATAAGTCAAGCAGTGAAAAACATCCCAGTAGTCATAATGGTCCAACAGGTTAAAATGGTCCAACCACTGAAATGGTCCAGCTGTTCAAAGTAATACAACTGGTTAAAATGATCCAACCAGTTAAAATGGTCCAACAGGTTCAAGTGATCCAACTGTTTAAAATGATCCAACCAATAAAATTGTCCAACTGGTTGAAATTATCCAACCAGCTAAACTGATTTTCTCTTGTCAAAATGATGCAACCGCTGAAATGGTTCAGTCAGTTAAAATGATTTAACTGGTTGAAGTGATCTAACCTGTTACATTGGAGCAACTGATTAAAGTGATTTAACTGCTTAAAATGGTCTGACCAGTTAAAATGATTTATCTGGTTGAAATGATGCAACTGCTGAAATGGTCCAGCCGGTTAAAATGATTAATCTGGTTAAAATGATCCAACGAGATAAAATGGTCCAACAGGTTCAAGTGATCCAACTGTTTAAAATAACCCAACGGATAAAGTGATCCAACTGGTTAAAACGATCCAACTAGCTAAACTGATCTATCTGGTTAAAATAATGCAATCACTAAAATGGTCCAGCCGGCCGTCTAAAATGATCTGACTGGTTTAAGTGAACTAACCAGTTAAAATGGTTCAGTTGGTTAAATTGATCCAACTGGTTAAAATGGTCCAGCTGGTTAAAATGATGCAACTGCTGAAATGGTCCAGCTAAAATGATCTAACTGGTTGAAGTGATCTAACTGGTTAAATTGATCCAACTGGTTAAAATGATCCAACCGATTGAAATAGCTCAACTGGTTAAAACGATCCAACCAGTTGAAATGGTTTAAGTGCAAATGATATCTAAGTAGTGAAAATGGTCCAACCAGTTAAAATGGGTAACTAGATAAAATTGTCCAACCGTTTAAATGGTCTAAATAGACAAAATGGTCCAAATGCATAAAATTGTTTTAAATAGTTTAAGTTGACAAAATGGTCCAATTAGTTAAGATGGCCTAAAATGGTTAAACCACATCAAACGGTCCAACCGCTTAAAATGGTCCAGCTAGATAAAATGATCCCACTAGTGTAGACGGCTTAACCAGTGAAATTGATCCAACCAGTGAAGACACTCCAACCGGCCATGGTTAAAATGGTCCTACCAGTTTTAGTGGTCCAACTAGTGAAAATGATTCAAACAGTACAAATGATCCAGCCGGTTAGAGTGATCCAACTAGTCAAAATTGTTCAAGTGGTTATTCAAGTGACTAAAGGGACTGGATCTACTTGATAACATTTTTCCTAGGGGCTAAAAATGGCTAAAAATGGGCTAAAACGATCCAGTTAGCCAAGTATTATATTACTGGTTCAAGTGACTTAGCTGGCTCAAATGATCCGGCCGCTTAAAAAGCTAAACACAGAGCAAGTTTAAAAGATTTAATTTTGCAAGTTTGGAAAGAGTTCCAAAATTAACATGCCCACAGCTCAGTGTAAAACATCTAGTACTTCAAATAATTCCTACGAACATACGCACTTAATGCACGTCAGTTCGCCTTTGCCGTCCCCGAACGATCAAAACTTCATGGTAACGCGGTGCAAGAATTGCACAGCACTTTATATATATGTTTTACTTGACGATAAAAGTTTGAGTCCGTACAGAAATCATAACGAAAACATGACAAGTCTAACGAAGAAGTGAATAACGTGTTTCCGCTGCGCAAGTTTCGTGTTTTCCGAATTACGGAGTCATGCTATTTCGTCCTGTGAGCTAGCTGGGCTGTCAGAATCTCTAATGACTGTTGACAGCTGCAGTTTTTCCATAAATTTTTGTTAAAAGAGAATCAACAAACAAAGTTGCATTGAAAACGTCTTTAGTCTGTATACGCCTTTCTACCTGTCCTACGGTAGCAGGGATTTAATCGCACAAGCTTCGAACTCAGTTCTGTATTTTCGCCAACATGATTATATGCTAAAAAATAAATTAAGTGGAAGAAAAACGTCCCTAGTTCAAGAGCGAACAGAACGGAGTGTCTTTATCTTTAATAAAACTTTCCAAAACTCATTTGCGATAACTATCATATGAGTACAGTTCCGCGACGGAAACATGCAAGAAATTTATTTCTAAGAAGTTCCCGTTTGTTTCCTCTGGCGTCATAAAGATGTTACGTCACCGGAAAGACGTGTTGCATCCAACGGAACACTGGTGGAAACATGCAGAAAAGTGGTCCGGTTCCGCTGTTTCCGTAGCGATGGAAACATGAGTAAACGTCACGATTCTGTCGACGAAAACACGTGTTAAACTTTACGTTTCTGCAGACTAGTCGCTAGACACTTTAATCTTCCTTATCATTCTAAACAGCATATGGCAGTTTGCGGCCTTTCCTTACATCTAGGCAGTTCGGAAAGCCGTAAAACACTAGAACAAAAATTTATATTCCAAATCGGCACCCTTTATCCCCACGGAATCAACGAGCGCTTTTCATTCAACTAATTTATTCCTGTTTTCTCGTCACCATACTCCCACCAATGGCGCAGCTCCACTTTCTACATATAAATCCACACACAACCCACGATTCCTCTAATCGCTCTGACGAAGGGCTAACGCTTGAAACGTCAGCTTTTTTACCCTTTACGGTGGCTAATTTACGTTTTCAACCCAGTTGTTAACACTAAATTACCTGCTATACTCTCCCACCGACGCAGCACCACAGTTTCTTTAGAAACTTACCCCTTTATTCACGTGTTATCTGTAATTTGCACTCGTGTTACACGACAAATGCACTAGTTTTCAGCCAATCAGAAGCGCGCAATTTCATATATATTATTAAAGTGGAAAGAATCGAGTCAAATGCATTACTCTCCTCTATATCTAATTTGGTAGAGAGCGCGCGCAGTTGATTGATTGATAATGCGCAATTCATCACTTGTTGACGTCATTAAATTATTACAAATCTATAACACTGGCCTTCAGTGAAATAAGTGTTGAGCAGTCGCCATGTGAAAACTTAAGTAGACAGTTCATTCCTGGATCATAATTTTATTGTAATGAGCAGAAATACTGTTGCTGAGATTTTGTTTCTTGTCTTGCTGCAATATTTTGTATTGCTTAACGGTAAGATGGTAACGACCAAAAAGTATGAAGATATGGTATTGTGCTGTATGTGACTGTCACATAGTATCGTGTTTTCACGTTTAAATTGAGTTAGTTTATCATTTAGGGTTATGGATATTTTATCACTTTAAGTGAGTTTTGTGGTTTTTTTCCATGAATGCCCAACTGCATAAGAGTTACGACCCTTCAGTTATTCGGCCACGTAGGTTACGATGATATGAAGAAAATATGAAAATAAAAGGAATAAATTATTCACTCCTGAAAGTTCTTTTTAAATTGTAGACGGAAAGAACTAACATTTACAAGTTTTCTGCTTAATAAACGAAAAATCTGCTACTTTGAAGGGTTTAGAGCATATCATTGACAGATATCTTTTCGTGAATGATTTTCCGAAGATTCCCTAAGGATTTCAAAAGGTGTGAGGTAATCAAAAGTGAAGACATTTGCTGTTGCAACACACTGCCTACAAAGGTTGTGCTGCCATTTCCCGACATTTCAAATATGTTGATTATTGTTTTTAGTTACTGGAGACGGGACTGATATTGCTGAAAAACGACTTGCATCTCAAAGCAGCACACAAACTCACTATCTGGCCAGTCATGCCGTAGACCGGGATCCTGATAGCTGCTCTCGAACCCGTCATCGGGTGAAACAGATGTGGAGAGTTGATTTAGGAATACGAGTGTGGGTAGTATCTGTTGGAATAAGACCTGGAAGAAGGCTACCAAACGTTGATATCAGAATAGGTAGGGCTCAAGGTAACAATGAAAAAATTTCTATTCATAAACCAGTCATGTGATAAAATTCGATCCACCTGTGGGCTTCGATAACTTCCATACATTATGTTTTGGGAAAATTTCCGAGTGATTTTGCAACATTTCATGCGATTATTTTATGCTTCTTTTACTCCGGCAAGGAGATCACTGGAATGTTTTCACCAAAGTTGGGGAGTGTTTTAAAATATCTTATCGCTATGTAGATATGAATTTTATGTTCGAGTGGCAAAAAAAAAACTAATGAGTGAATGTTGCGAACCAATGAGATATTGTTCTCGCCACGATAACATGATATCCCAATCTACAAGCTAAGTTATAATTTTGTTCTTGTTATATAAGCAATGAATATACAAGTCAGAGATTTAAAATCTGGCTTCAATACAAATACTGGGTACTAATACAAACAAAATTCCAAAATTATAAAGAGGTTTGCATATAATACAGTGGCAGATCAAAGTACATGTGAACTGCCTTTAAACAAATTTAATAAAAATTCCAATTCTGACTCTGGCTTGAGTCATCATATATCATTTTTAGCCTCTTTCCACCACAAACCCTTGAAGGTATAAAGCACGAACAAAAATTTACCTTTCCAATCTGGTGGATTTGAAAAGAACTTCCGGTAGAACCACCATGTGTAAAGGAAGCCGTTTCAGTTTTCTCTCCTAACAAAACAATTGACACTTCCACAAAAAATCTTAGGGCGGTCTTTGTTCCAAAGAACAAAAATACCAAGTTCAATCAGCAAAGTTAGAAAAGGCGGGAAATGTGACGTCCTTGCTGAATATGACCACTCATATTACAAACGAAAAATACGACTCTCGTTTCCCGGATATACCGGTTATATTGATTCCGCGAGTGTTTTACTTCACGGTAAAACGCTCCTCTCCATATTATAAAACAAACATCAGGTCACTGTGGCGATATGTCGCTACGACGCATTGCCCGCTCTACGATAATTTATAACAATTTACCGAAGTGGGGTCGTTAGTAGTGGATATTTACCGAGGTGCGAGCGGCGAGTTTAATGTCCACCACTAGACTTGACAATGAGGTGAATAGTTGTTTTAGTATATACTAAAATAGTAAGATAATACAGCCCTAAAAGATGATTTTAAATATTTTATTCCTACGACGATTAAAATACTTCCGGACGCAGATCCTGCGTGAGTTGCTCGGAGGTGCAAAGGATAATCGGAGTTTGAGTAGCCAATCAAGACGCGCCTTCAACGCTCTCCGTTCTTTTAATATGTGCTTAACTGGGATATTCCGATCGAGCGCTAAATGGTGATGTTCAATGTGCCGCACGCTCTACGGTATGTCGTTGTATCGAGGTTCCGCAAGGATGATATATTGCGGAAACGATATGTCACAAAAAAAGATCCGTTACCTTGTCGCTTTAATGTTCAAACCTTTTTGAAAATTCGCGATATATCAACGATGTAGCGTTGCGATATTTCGGAAGAACAAAGAGCAATACTTCACGATAATCGTTTGCATTATTGCTGATTTCACCACATGGAAGGTGTTGTATTATTTTACACCCAAATACTGTTATGCAAAGGACTTGTGATGTAAGCCTCTCAAGTGAATGTGCTCAAAGTAATCCAACAGGACTCGAACTTAATTACAGGTGATGAGGAAAGAGTGGCTTTTGAATCTAACCCACTCTGTCGCCAAGGTCTTGAAATCATCAACACTGTTTTTCTACGATACGACTGTGCTGAGCCAATGCTGGGCAAATATGTTTATATTTCACTCAACTACAAAGAAGCAGCAACGCTGGAATTGTGTGATGTACAGGTCTTCATGAATGAGGGTAAGTTCCCACTGATCTATCTTGCATCACCCGTATCAGGCTTGTCTCTCTTTTTCGGTGTCTGTTTTGATGCTGTACACCTACCCCTCCCCTAACCCAACATTAACCCCTACCTTGTTATCGATTGACTTTTGTCCAGATACTTAAATTGATCCTTCTTCTTCTTCACCCGCCCCACCATCAATATGTCCCTATATCCATTTACATATCGGTCTATTCATTTTTTCCACGCTCACAAAAAAGATTATAAATATTTTGTAATCTCTTGGCTCTCATTATTTAATACATACCAGCCAGTTATAAAACTGACTATAACAGTGGTGATTCGCAAGTCTTTGCACATGGTTTAGATTTTAACTTCTGGATCCTTTCCTACAGGTAGCGTATTTGACGAACTGATTTACCGTTTTCTGGATTTCTCGCAATTCGTCCAAGGAAATTTACATTCTTCACTTGGAAGTGATAGATTTGTGTTGCAAATATTAAATAGCGGATTCATGCATAAAAGGGAAGTTCATAGGAAAGACATCATCATAGATCTTCCGCCAAAAATAGAAATGTTGAAGAGGAACGTAGCTATCCTAATACCTTTCAACAGAAGTTTCGAACACTATCGGAAAGATACGTGTACTCTGAATGTGTTTTTTGACCATTACATCAATGGAACGGTCCTTGGCTACTCTGAGGTTAAAGGAACTGTCTCGGTCAAAAGTGTTTACTACCGTAAGCTCGCACAACTTCATTTGCTTTATTTACCAAACCTTTTAAGCCTACAGTCTTTCTTGATTCTAGCTTGATGTTGTTCCTCAGCGATTCGCGAAATGATTCGGTAGAACTAGATGTGGTGGCGAGGATGGGAGAGAGGGTGAAAGAGCTGTGTCAATAAGTGGTTGGAGTTGCGCTATAACAGGGATCTACTTAGGGCAACTCTGTTACACGCCACAAGCTTGCCACAGAGCTACCACGAATTGCTTCGTGTAAATCAAACCTACAAATCGCTTACGAATTTTCCATACATCTCGAATTTTAAATTTTTGTCTCAAAAAAGTGTCGTAGGATTTTAAAATGTGAGTTAAAACGTATTTTGTGACAAATTTCCTGACATATACCTGACGTTCGTTTTGTAGAATCTGTTATTAACTTTTAATACTGCATTAGATAGCTTTTGTAGACTTAGTTTAACTGAATCCTCAGTCGTAATGGTATCAATCTCAAGGCTCACTATGATGTCTATATCCATTTAACAGGTGATAATGAAAAAAAAACGCGAGAGCGGGTGTTCCATTGCAATATTAGAGACGTGCGAATAAGAGGAGGTGAATAAATACGTGCTGGTGTTGAATATCATTTCTTCTTTAAAGGCACATGGATGTTCTTGTTTTGTCTCGATCGCAGCATCTCTCAAACTTCCCCATCAAATGCAAATAACCAGTTGATATCACATCGGCTATCAGCATAATAGAAAGTAATTGTTTTGTTCACAGCTAACATTTGTGACCTTCAAAACAAATGTGGTGCCTCAGTCGGATCACACTGCGACAAAACATTTATCAGTCCGTTACTCCCTCCGGGCGGGTATCACTGCAAGTGCAATGTTGGCTTTGTTCCATCTCCTTCTTCAAAACTTGGTATGGACAACCATGTTAATCCCGGCGAACGCTGCATCAGAAAACCAAAAGGTAGTTAGGTTTGTTGATAAAATTTACACAAAAATTAATAGATTGTGTCAATTTTTTGTGGGAAAGAACTGCATCCAGTGCTTTGAAGAGCGAACCAAACTTATAGATCTAATCACTGTTTTAACTTTCTTCTCATCAGAGGTTGACTTAAGCAATATACTCATACTTTTTGTATTGATTCTTTCAGCGATACAACACAGCAACCAGAATCTTGCGTTAACGATGAAAGTAACTGCGTGTTCGACTGACAACTTTGACGGTTGCAAGAAAGAGGCGGGCTGTAAAGAGGTTTTCGCTTTTCGCCGGTTTGTAGTGGATGGTATTCTAAAAACATGCTTTCTTTCACTAAATGAAAACAAACCTTGGCTCATTGTTCATCTGGACGACTATAGGCCAGTGTCTTATGTCCGTGTTGCTGCTTCCCCGAAATTTCCTTCGGATCGTCTCATAGTGTCCGTAGGTATGAAAATACTGCAAGTTACGGATAAATCTAATAGTAAATTTATCTTGTGTTAAGCCTCATTTATCAACCCTTGTGAAAATAAATATATCTGCGATGGAGACTGATCCAGGAGAGTGACAGTCATAGAAGATATACAGGATATAAATGGACTTGGGTGCGAAATAACGGTGTGACTTACTTCTGGTAGAGCAAAGGCTCTTCATAATTCCAGCATCTCTATTAAGGTTGAATTTGTGTTGCATTGAGTGTACATCCTCCGGGGCTCGTTGATGCCATGATTGTTTGCTTTTCTTACCATTCGTATTCCATTTCCATTCATTAATTGCAGTTACCTTCTTTTCCAATCTTGATTTAAAGTTGATTTCATTCTTTCGTATCATTTAGGTGAAATAAAAGGAAAGTTAACTCATTTTAAAATGTGTGCATTTCGGCGCGTGTTGGAGAAAGGACAGCAGTTAAGCTTCGGATGTAACGATTACTTGTTCGGAAATGCCGTTCAAATAACAACTAACTCTCGCATACTGAGTTTATGTGAGATTGAGGTGTACTCTTACTCGTATGGTAAGAACAGTATTTTGCAACACTTATGATTTCATGTAAAATCTCAAACAAGACTATTTCATAAATTCATCCTCCAAATTTCCTAGGTTGCAACTTGATCTACATCAGTCGTGCAGTGTTGGAAGTACTGGCATAATTTTGTTCAATGTTTCGTTTAGGGCGAAAATTTTTTTCTAAAACTAGATTTGAACATTTAAAAAAATAGATTTCTAGATTCTCTTCAGCAACAGCCGACCACAGATGACGTCAAAATGTGGTGGGAACTAACAAGCGGCACGTGGCGCAACCGAGTGTATCACTGATGTTTTTATCACATTTTGACGTCTACTGTGATCTCTTATTGTGCAGACCCACGGTTACGTAGAATCAACTTTTTCGTGTGATAATTTGATCTTATCAACTGAATTATCAACTGGCGTTTCGAGCGTTAGTCCCTCGTCGGAGCAATAGAGAAATTGTGGGTTGTTTGCGTTTTATTCGCAGATAATGGAGCTAAACTATTTGTGGAAACATGGTAACTAAATGAGCATAATAAATCAATTAAATGGAAAGCCTTCGTTGATACCGTCAGGGGATTAATAGTGCCGATCTAAAAGATAAATTATTCTAGCGTTTTCACCAACCTATATAGCAAGATTTAGGGAAAGGCAGCAGACTGCCACTTAATGCCTAGAATGATTTGGGATATCAGTGAGTCCAGCCACTGGTTGGATGCGTCCTTGTCAATCTTTTCTACGTCACGCAAAATATGATAGAAAAGCAAAATGTCGTTAATAGTGACGTCATCTTTGCGTCTATCCTCCAATAGATCATAGGTAAATAATCAATCAAAGTGCGTTTATGAATTAACTTATCATATATGAATAATAGATAACTGAAAGTTTTTCCCCTTTCAAAATGCGCTTCCTAGTGTGCAGAACAATAAATAGCCGATTGGATGGTGGATTGCAATGACAGTAAACAAAGCCTCTTGAAAAAGCAGGTTTTAATCGGTCCCAAGATATCTTTCACAAATCCTTGTGACTGGTTGTCTACGCGTGCGTACCGAGGTTTCATCTTCCTTCGGGAGAAAATACCTTTCAGAAATTTGTATAGTTATTATATCTGGTACGCTAATATGTAATCTACAGACACAGAAACTCGCTATTGTAGATGCCTAAATTGTTTTTAGTATTTGGGATCCCAGATTAAAATATAGAAGCTGATTATTCAAGGCTTGTTGACCATGCTGTTTTTGGATTTTCGCAGCGAACGTTGCTTTGCAACCTACATCTAAACTCAAAAAGTCTTTCATGAACGATGGAAATCTCAAGTCATGTTTTACGAAAACAGGAACTGTGTGGTCTCTGGACCTGGGAAATAATGTCCGCGTAGCGGTGGTATTTATATTACATGGTCGTTCAACGTATCTTGAAGGTTCTGAAATAACAGTTGGTGAGTTCAGACAGATGTTATTCTGAAATTACGACTCATACTATAAATCGCGTTTCCATGTGGGCCTGTGGTTACATTGCCAGGTTCAGACTACTTTTTGTCTTTTTCCCTTCACTCTCTAAACCCTTCCTCTGTAAGTTTTTACCAACGCATGGCTTTTTACTGAATTGTCTTTGAACGTTTCCGTGAGTAGAAAGGACTCAGGCCAGGAGTTTTGGAGCCCAATAGTGTACTGTGCGCTCAAAATTGAACTAGAGGGACCCTAACTGGCAAGACTGTGGGTTTTCTGAAAGACCCCAAGTATCCTATAATACTCCAGTGATCGTGAAGCACCCGATAGTGGGTCAATAGTTTACGGTGTACCAAAGGTTGAATGAAGTGGACAAAGACTACTGATAGTCTCTTGGACGTTCTGTGACTCTCTAATGATTTTCTGGACCAAATCGTGTATTGTACAATGGGGCTTGTATTAAACCGACCATGACGAGAGTTCTTTGGGTGTTCGCATAAGAAATATTTGTCTGTATTCTAAGTTATAGATATGTATGTCTGTCTGTCTGTCTGGGTATATGGAGTGTTCAAAAGAAGCGGTTCTTATCGCGGTTTGTGCTAAGTCAGGGTAAGTGTCCAGCAGCTGGCTGTACACATAAATGCATAGCTGATTGTACTGTTTTACAATCAACCATGGCTGTCAACTTTGTAATTACAGGTTACTCAATCAAGAAAGAAATCTGTACAACAATTCCTAAATATGAGGAATTGGGAAATTACTTTGAATGCCAGAAGCCGGTTATTGGGAATAGCTTGGAAGTTGAGTTGAAAAGTCGTCGCACTTTTGAAATTTGTGAAGTGGAGGTTTTTCAGACAAAGACAGGTAAAATGCACAATTTTTAATCTTTTTCCAACAGATGTTTCTTCATTAATCAAGATACCCACGATTGCAAACGTTCGAAAAACTTTGCGAAGTACCTAAAGTTTGTATTATTACTTTATAGATCGACCATTTGTTAACTTGTTTCGATTAACAATATATACTACGTAATATTTTGATTCTATTTTCAGTAAACGTAGCTGCAAAGCGTCCTGCTACTGCTTCTTCGAATAGTGACAAAGCATACAGAGGCTGTGATCAGAAAATAGGTATTCTTTTGTTTTGTACGCAAATGTGCATGTATTTATAGACTTTTCGTCATAATAAGTTCCTTGCTTGTTCAGTATTTACTAACCTTGTTCGTCTAATTCTTTCTTTCGTCGCAGACAAATCGTTCATTATCAATGACAAATGGGATTCTCAGTGGTGGGCAGTAGACTTGATGGCAGTATGCAAAATTCATTTGGTGCGGATTGTGACAGCGACAGGCTACAAACCGGCTGACCTCAAAGATTTAAAGGTTGAAATAGGTTAGTTACGAATACTTGTGTCAGACGCTTCGCTCAAGGCAACTTGAAATCTTATGCTTCACGACGAAAAAGTCAGAGTATCCTTGCCACATGTTTTGTGACGAGTTCTTCTTGTGAATGAATCTTTGGTATTTCCTCATTGATAGGATCTGATGGAACTGAAGTAGCCAGTCTGGATTCTCCAACAGCAGAACCTGTCCAGACTATGATTGTTTCAAAAGACACCAGAACGAAGCTTGTAACCATCAAGATGTACGTTGCCCACAGACTCGCGTTCCGCGAGGTGGAAATTTACAATGGCCCGTTGCTAGGTAAAGATATACAAATCAAAGCAATTTTGACGACTGATGTTAAAAGCTTTACCCTAAATTGAGCGCCGTTTGATGCAGAGCTATTTATGGAATAATTTTCTTGAATTTTTGGGGCTTAAGTTATGGTATTTCAGTGTTGGTTCAATAAATAGCCATTTTGTGAGAGTTTTGACGCGTTAGGCGGTGAAGCCCACGAGAGGCTTGAAACGGAAAAATAAGTTTCTCCACTCAAACATCCTCTCCACTTTGTCCGAGCACCTAGGCCTGGAGTTTCATCAAGCACCCAAAAAACCGCCAGCAACGCAAGCTTTTAATACTGCTAGAAATGTCCTTTATCACAAAAATATAAATTAGCATTCCTATGCTATGCCTTTCGAGTTTTTTTGTTACGTTTTCTAGTTGTTGATGTCTGTAAAAAGCCTGATATTTGTGGCGACAATTACAAATGTGTGAATAGGAAAAAAAGTCATTCGTGTATTTGTCCAAGTGGATTCCAAATAACAGGGCGATATAAGAAATGCAAAGGTATGTGAAACAATAAGCGGATATTTTGTTTGTTTCAAACGCGATGTTTTAATTTATGAGAACGTTTTTCGTATCAGCTCCTCGCAGCGACTGCTCGTTCAGTCTCGATCTAGTAGATTGCAAATATTTAATACTTATTTGCCGAAGCGAAGTGAATTTTGTTGAATGATTCCCGAGACGAAGTCGAGGAGATTATTCAACAATCTTTATTGGGCCTCCGAAGAATAATTGCTTTAATGTAGTCTCTTAATAAGGTGCTATTGAGTTATTATTGAGTTAGTTGTAAATTCGTGATGTTGATTGAAAATTATAAATTATGCCACAATAGTTCTGATCACTTCTATCGAGATAAGCAGTCAGTTTCTGCTAGAAGTTAACAAGTTCATTTTATTCCGTCAGCCAAAAACTACACATCTTTCTTTTGGAACGTGTAACGCCAAACGTATTAGCATCTTTTTCGCTCTTCAGATGTGTATTTCCTTCTATCACGTAGTTCACCTCCATTGACAAAACGCGAGACAGCTATTTGCCATAATCACCTTGTGCAAGGTAATTATAGCGAGATATGACTCAGTCTTCGACCAATCAGAGCGAGCGCATTCCTCTAATCACTGGAGGTGTTGTTAGTATAAACCACATGGGAGAATAGTGCTTTTCGCGTGGATTTGTTGGCTTGTTCTGAAGTGATTAGCAAGAACCATTTACCTCCGGGCAGACGACGAGACAAAATCGCGTGTGAGAAGTGTAATTTCTGACCAAATTCGATATTTTTGTTAGAAATCTGATATGAACATTTGGCTCCCCTTCGATGAATGCTTGTTAACTATAGCAGCATGCACGACGCCATAAAAGACATGACGTTTGTACCCGTATACCATAGACAGTCAGACACACTCATTCAATACAACTGAGGTGGGAGGGGTTGGCCAGCTTACTTGAAAGGCTCAAAGTCTTTAAAAAAACGTTATTAATTTCTACAAACAGCTTCAATAGCTGCAGTTTTTTTCTAACTGTGATAGTTTTCCGTTTTAAAACTCTTAGACATCGACGAATGCACTTCTAAAAATGCTTGTCGGAGGCATGGGAAGAACTCTTATTGTAATAACACCGCTGGATCATATGAGTGCTTGTGCAAGGAGGGTTACGAAGCTGTGAGTGATCCCAAAGGAAAACTTCAAACATGTCGAGGTAAAACGTTCTTATTTTGGCGACAAACTACTTGGAAACTACTTTATCAGTTGAAATAAGCCTTCACACGGTTGGTCATGTGACTAACAATCGGTATTCTTCCTCATGGAATTTCATGATTTCAAGAAATACGAAGATCATGATTCATTCAGACGAATGTCACTGAAGGTGAAGATTTCAAGACCATTTGAAATCTTAACAATTTCATGCTTTCTTACTCAGAAGACAGAAATTTTCCATAACTATTTGTAGGAAAATAAGTACATAATATTGATCACTTGCAAGACGGAAAGGGAAAATGTTATAGCAGTTACAATGTTATAGCAGCTACAAAACATAGCCAACGATTTAAATGAAAATCATGTAAGCGTTACAGGAGGAAAAAGCGTTTTCTTTCCATACAAATCCTCCTGTTTTGGAAAGTCTTTTTCCTTTGATAGAAAGGCCATATTACTATGGTCATTATCAATATTGTTGTCATTATTATTATTATCCTATTTATTATTATCTTAACGGTTATAATAATAATTATTATTATTATTATTATTATTATTATTATGATTATGCAATAGAAATCGCACATGTTTTAGCCATATTGGAATCAACTCAGTTTCCAAGACGTGAAGTCCTTTATTTGCTTTAGCTGTCTAAATTGTCTCAAATTATTCCCAAGAAAAACAAAATGGATGTGAAAGTGAACATAGTTTGTGCTCTAGTGTACAGCTTTGGTTGAACTCGTGCTATGAGCTAATAATTTTGCTATATTATATCTCGTATTCTTTTCTGAATAATTTTCAGACAAGGATGAATGTAGTAATCCAAAATTGAACGAATGCAGTGATGGTACCACATGCGTCAATAAGATAGGCAGATACACTTGCAAGTGTGCTGTGGGATATGAGGCAGATAAGGGAAGTAAAGATAACGGCATAGACATCAAGTGCATAGGTAAGAACATTATTATTTTTTTTAAAGTATTAATGAGACTGTCAAGCTTTAAAATCACCAGTGAAATCAACCACCACGATATGGTATTACAATCAGTCGGATCAGCGAGCGACGTGAGACATTTCGTTACAGCTTACACCAAATTTTTCCAACATGGGGACTATTCATTAAGTCTTGCTTTTAGATATAAAATGACAAATGATCAAATGACAAAGGGTGCATGGAAAATGAAATTTGTAACGACTTTGGAGGTTCGCACCTGTGTGATTGTAAACAAGGTTATCATATGAAAGACAAACGTTGTGTTGGTAAGGGCATTACCTTTATATTTATGAAAAAGAAATGTCAAACTAAGTATCCATTACATCACAGTTACATCTTAGTGTAATGATTTAGTTTTGACAGTCTTGAGGTCAAACAGAATCATCTTGTATGATATAACTTTCAGTGCTCAGCTATTAAACACCTTTTCGCTTCCAGTTAAATAAAAGCCCATCAACAAGGGTGAATTGCATGTTAGTAAAGACAAAATAATTATGTGTCGTCCCTCTTCATCCTAAAGATACAAATGAGTGCACTGAGGACAAAAATGTCTGCGGCCTCAACTCCGTTTGTACAAACACCGTGGGATCTTATCACTGCAACTGTGAACTGGGCTTCAAGAGTAATATGAACGATGGAAAGAACTGCTCTGGTGAGTAGTAATAAATATTCAAACTCCTGCTTGAATTAAACGATTCTGATGATACGTCATCATAGACGACAGTTTATCACATAAAATAAATAGAGGTGGGTCTGCTCAGGAACATCAGTTACGCACTTAGTTATGCCTGATATGCCACTTTTATGTTTTAACCACATTTGACGTCATCTATGATCTATTTCTGAACAGACCTACGGCAACATGGAATCCATTCATTAAACAGACCCACAGCCTGATATCTATCCGTTTTGAACAGGGAGATCCACTTAAGTAGCTTGGGGTTTTGTTGCAGTTCCGCACCTAAGTGGTTACTTGGCGTTGTTGAAAGATCGCTATTTCGTCAATCTTGTACCTTTTCTTAAGTTTTCCATCTTGCTTCTCTTCAGATGTTGACGAATGCACCGATGTTCACGCGTGTGGTGCCCATATGACTTGTGAGAACACGTTTGGATCGCATTCTTGCACATGTCACCAAGGATTCCGTCTGGACAAAAGAAGCAAAAGCTGCACAGGTAATCCATACGTACATGGGTAATTTTCAGGAGTCAAAAACAGCAAATGATAGAGGATTTTCTTTACACGATTACGCATATGATAACGGAGGGCTTATTAGCAAGCCACTCAGAATGATTTGAAGAAAGAAGGCAAGCATCAGCTCCATGACAATTTTTTTGTGAACAAGCACCGGGGTCCAGCTTCTTTGGATCGATTGACGCTGTCGTTTTTAGAGTGAGTAAGAAGGTAACTTAACAGTTATGTTGAATCTAACCCTATTTGATGAAAAGATCGCTATGGTTTAATTGGATCAGAGTTGTTTG